TCGGACTCCAGTCTCAAATAACATAAAGTGATATACAGTAAAATAAATGCAAAGCATCTATATAGATATCGTTGTCTATACTATTAATTTAAAAATAAGGAGATGTGGAATAAATGCCAAAATTGTTTTAACAATCATCTTGGAGAGTCTAAATATTAAAAAGGGTTGTTTCATGTCTGTATTCTTAAACAATTGTTATTTTTCTCTCTTTTTTAGCAATGCATCACTCTCTACTGTCCTTATCTATTATTCTATATTCTGCGTCTCCATCCAGATTCTCGTGTATACCATGAGGGTCCGGATTGGGGTTGTTGTTTATTTCTGTATTCTTTAATTGCTATGTCACTTTTCTCTACATTTTATTTATTTTTCTCATTATTCTTTCTCTATTCTTTAAATTCTAGCATCCCAATATATTTTACTTACTGATGTTTAGTTACATTACGACGTTTATCTCTGATATAAAAAAGCAGATGTGGTATGATTGCCAATGAGACAACTCTCCACAAGAGACCAAAATGACACAGAAATTAACAACTATAGGTCACCGTACGGCCTTCAACAATGAGCAAAGTCCATACCGCATAGTCAGCTATAAAAGGCCCCGAAATGACAATGTAAAACAATTCAAACGAGAAAACTAACGGACTTATTTATATATAAAAAAAAATGAACGAAAAACAAATATGTAACACATAAACAAACGACAACCACTGATTTACAGGCTCCTGACTTGGGACAGGCACATACATACATAATGTTGCGGACATGTTAGCGGGATCCCAACCCTCCCCTAACCTGGGACAGTGGTGTAACAGTACAACATAAGAACGAACTATAAAAATGATGTATATACTGGTTACCAATGTAGATGACAAATTGGTGTTATTCATAACAACGAAACAGAATTCACATGATATATGCGACCATTCTTGAATGAAATAAATATTACTTTAATATTACACTTTTTGAAACCATTTTTATCAATTTTCAATTTCCATTGTCTAAATTTATTTTTCATTATTCATGTGTTGTTTCCGTATATTTTAGCCACTCGTCTTGAGCCTACCCATTTGATCCGATAACTCCTCATAAAGCAATCAATTTATATTTTCATTGTCATTCATAACTCTTAACAGACCAAATAACAGACCGGGTTTTATACATCCGACCCATTAACAGACCAGGTTTTTAATAAAAATTGATTAATATCACCAAAATACAGATTTTCGTGTAGATTTTTCACACAATAATATTAATATGGTTAACAAACATAATGCCTGTCTTTTTTCGATGTTCAAAATATTGCATGCAAGTAAATTCAGCCAAGTTGTCATTTTGTGTACATTTTGTGTGTGTAAAATGTGTATAAATTTATTGATGAGTAACCCGCCTTTTCATTTTATTGATTGTTTATCGAAGCTAGAAAAAAAATAATTACACCACTGGATTCAGTACATTGAATTGTTTTGTCAGACATGAATAATTTTTATGATAAAAAATATATTTAAAAAGTTATACAATGAAACATACTGAACTTGCAAGTATTTTCTCGATAACACCTGATTAACAGACTTTAGCCAACCCAATTAACAGACCAACCGCCGATATAGCCGCATACTCAATATAGATTAACCGACCAATCTCTCGGTTAGCCGAGTGACGGCCGTGAATACGGGGCTTATAATTGAGTCATTTTAACTGATAATTCTTCTTCATACACTTATATATTCCACGGGTTAAATTCTAAAAATGCCGTTAAACTCTTTAATGAACCTTTTCAAAGTCCGAAACAGTAAGATGCGCTGTCATTATTTATTACGTTTTTTTGTCATTTTGTTGATAGTCTGTTAAATTTATCCGTACAATTCTCATTACGATTCAGAGTTAGCCAAATGGTGAAGTTACTATATAATTAATTATGTTTTTTTTGTGTAGTTGGGTTTCTCTCTCATCGACGTCTTATGTTTTTCATATCTCTTATTAATTTCGTATATGAAATAACAGACATACAAAATTAGGAAAGTAGATTTGATTTTTTCCCATTCGAAGTTAATATTGTTGACTTCCTTATTAATCATGAATAAATATAACAATTCTCGTGATTTGGCCGATTTTCATTGCAGGTACTTTTTTCAAATTCGCGCAATCGAGATTATGACGTCAGTGGATTTCCGCAAATGTGACTACATCTAAAGCGACGTCGCGAAATGTAATCGTTCTTATTAGAAACATCGCGAAATTACAACGTTCTGATTAACAACGTCGCGAAAACAACACGAAAAGTTTTGAAAACGTTATTATCTGCCCCTGCTACTGTATCGTATGCCCTTAACATGGTTAAATGTGCTATAGAATATATAATTTGGCTAGGTTATATACGCTTTTTTTTTTATCCCAATTGGAACCTCAACAACATCATCATAACGAACATTACTATATGTGACGTAGTCTTAAGCTATACAGAACTCTTAAAGAATGTCAGAGGCTCACAGAAGAATTATAATGACTTGAATCCTCCAATAATACGTTTTTGATTAAAAATCACGCGATTTACACATCAAATACTTAATCAATGTCTTAAAAAGTGTTATTACAAATTATTGCATACGCCATAGAATTTTTTTCACAGCAAATTACAAAATCCTTTACGTATGCGGAACATATCAGGTCGAGGGTTGAGTTTTTCAATATTTTGGTTTAAAAAAAAAGTCACGAACAATCAAACAGTATACATGTACATGAAATCTAAAAACTTTATTGAAAAATAATCTTAACAAGAAAAAAATGTCAAGATGAAAAAACTTTATATACAGTCATGACAACATTATAATATGCAGTGGTAACAACATTATAATATGCAGTGGTAACAACATTATATGCAGTGACAGGTCACACTATTATATGCAGTGGTAACAACATTATATGCAGTGACAGGTCACACTATTATATGCAGTGGTAACAACATTATATGCAGTGACAGGTCACACTATTATATATGCAGTGGTAACAACATTATATGCAGTGACAGGTCACACTATTATATATGCAGTGGTAACAACATTATATGCAGTGACAGGTCACACTATTATATGCAGGGGTAACAACATTGTATACATTCATGAAAACATTATATACAGTTTTCACACTATTCTATGCAGTGGTCACAACATGATGCAGTGGTCACAACATTATGCAGTGGTTACTATATATTATAAGCAAATCAATTGTTGCAGTTTTGTCAGAATATACAGACGATCACACTAAAATTTCGCCGTGGCATTTTTTTTTAGACTATCTTGTTTTTATCAGAGGTGGAGATTGTTAGAAGTATATTCGGGAAATTTGTGTTCTAGCGATACGGAACATCGAGTACAGAATTTTCGTTGCTACACATATGTTTTTGATTCACTGAATAATTCAATCGATTTACCACAAGTAGCTATGATCGTTGTTAACATTTTCCTACATATAACTTTGTTTTCCTCATAAGTTTCCCTTATTCTATTTTTCTCTTCCAAGAACCCGTCTAAAATCATTTATTAAAAAAATGTTTTTCAAGTGTTGTCATCAAAAGTGAGGCATTTGTCTCCATTACGCGTTGGTATCTATTAGCATCTTTAAGTTGTGTAAGAGACATACCCCTGTCTGGATTTAGGAAGATTTTTATGGGAGTGGGAGTGGCTAGGGTGAAATTTAAAAAAAAGCAGGACAGGAGTTTTGAGTAAAAAAAAAGGCAGGATGAGCAACTTGGACAAAAAAAAAAGACAGGATGAAAATTTATGTACAAAAAGTCCGGATAAACTATTAAAAGAAAAGGCATGACCGAATAGAGAAAAAAATAAAAAGGTAGGACAGAGATTACAACTAAAAAAAATGCAGGACAAAATTTTTCATCCTAGCTCCCCCATAAAAATCAAATGATAGCTCCCTTACTCAATGATTCGATCACCATCTTTTTGCTTAGTCGATGCTGTTCAACTTTTTAACAACAACAAAAAGGGGATCGATACTTAGTGATTATTTGAAATTTCAAATTGTTCAACCAAATCATTTTCGCTTTCGGTCAAAATAAAAAACCCACGAAACTGAAGTTGCTACAGTGACATCACACACTTGGTGACCCCTATTTTTTCATCAAATTGTGTGCCCAAAATCATGAAATACATGTACCTTGAAACAAGGATTAATTTGCATACTAGTAATCCTTGCTTGAAACAATTTAAGAAAATCGCCAATAGAAATGAATCGGTTGTTATTCCTTTTATAAATACTGCCCGTTCAAACACAATATTATAAATAGATGAGTATGAATCGAGTTTTTCAGTGAGTGCCATTGAAATAACTCTCAACCTAAAACCAGTGTTGCTAATATAAAGAGTATCTATGCATTTGTAATAATACTAATATCAACATGTTTTAGCCATCTTATAAAAGAAAAAGATTAAATAAAAAAAAAAGAGATGTGAGGTGTGTGTCAATGACTGAATGAGACAACAACCCCCAAAAAAGTGAATCATTTAAGACGAAAGTATATTTGTCTTATGCCCATTTCGAGAGTAAATAATAATGTCAAAATTTCAAAGAAATATCAGTTAGGGAGCATTGTAAAGCATTTAACTTCAAGGGGGGGGGGGAGGGGTATGGTTTTTTTGTCTGAGTAAGAAATTTTTGTTCGCGCAAAACGAGATCAATTTTATTTAGTTTTTCAACGCTATCAATCAAATTATTTTTTTCAATATTTAACACTATACTATGCGGAAAATCTGGATTCAGAATATTTTTTTTGTCATCTGCTTGAAGTTGACCAGAATATTTATTTTCATCAAATTGGGGATCTGAATATTTTTTGAAAAAAAACCCTTGAAGTTAAATGGTCGTTCCCTTAGATCATTTCTGTATCTGCACTATAATATTTTTTCTGCTGCAAAATATTTCAATTTGTGTATCTTATAAAACATGTATTAATTGGTTTATAATTATGCATATTTTACTTTTAGTTACTTTAAAGGTATTTCTGCTTGCATGAAGACTGGAGCAGATCATTTCGGAAGAAATTGTATGTTTACAGTCCCAAAACTGGTAAAGATTCACAGGACATATCAAAATTTAACCTCGGCATTTTGTGACCATTTAACAGCAGGTAAGCCTATGCAAGTTTGTTAAAGTTTAGGCCATCATGGGTGTATCTTGAACATAAATCGTTCTTTGTACTAAAATTGACATGCCGGAAACATGTGTACTCACACATCCACCAAGATGGAGAATAAATGTTACTTTGCCTAAATCGGTAAATGGACACAATTATATTTAAACAATTTGAAAGTAAGATGAATAAGGCCATTATGGTTAAGTTCATGAAAATGTAAATAAGAAAACTCTCAGTGTAACAGAAATTGCTTTTTCCATTATTTTTTATTATATATCTAAATTATATTTTCCTTCGGGTTTATATCATCCGTTCATCCTATTTCGACTCTTCAAAATTCAAGAGTCTATCCTAAATTGAGGTAAATTATATGGCCTTCCAAATACCGTTTCGATTCCTAACATCACTGAAGTGACATTAATTGTCGAAATCCGGATATGGTGTACAAATTTTTGCACCTCATGTTTGTGGTATACAATCTTTTCCGTGAGTTTATTGTTTTCTGTTTGGTATAATATTAAAAATTAAGTTTCATTTTGTTACATCTAGTGATCCGTTTATTTGGAAATCGCCATGGCAGTCAGCAGGGTTTAAGAACATCCGTTGTTCGACCTGTAAGTCAAATGCGTTTTGTTAAAATATACTTTTTCACTTTTTTGGTCTTTTGGAAAATGTTGTTTGTGCTGTATTTAGACCCCTCTACCAAGAAATTCGTTTTGCATGCACACGTATAAAAATTGCGGTTTTTATCCAACGCAATCATAGGTTTGAACGTTGTTTTCAATTTAGACTTGTTTATATATATATATATATATTGTTAACGTCAATCAATTGTTTTGTATAACACTTATGTATACAAGTCACATTACCTGATGATCTGTAAAAGCAGTGAAAGCGCTAGTAAAAGTGATGAAACTACAGTACTGAGATTGGTGAACTATCTGTTACGCAAAAACAAGGAATAATTACATGCCTGCCGAAAGGAAATAAACCTAGACATTTCTTAAAAAATTGGCGACCTATATCTTTATTAAATACAGTTTATAAAATTGGCTCTGGAGTTATAGCAAAACGCTTTAAAACAGTTTTAGATAAACTGATAGATTTCGATCAAACTGGATTTATTAGTGGGAGATATATTGGAGAAAATCTTCGTTTAATTTATGATATTATGCAATTTACTGAGGAAAAAGACATTCCAGGACTTTTATTGCTCATAGATTTCGAAAAGGCATTTGATTCAATTTCTTGGGAATTTTTAACCAGTGTCTTGAAGTTGTTCAATTTTGGAGAATCAATAATTAATTGGGTTAAAGTTTTTTATAACAATATTAAATCAGCTGTTAATCAGGGAGGACATCTATCAGAATTTTTTTCTATAGAACGAGGCTGTAGACAAGGTGATCCCTTGTCGCCTTATATTTTTATTCTCTGTGCTGAAATATTAGCACTAAAAATACGAAATAATGATAAAATAAATGGCATTACAGTTGCTCAAGCTGAGCACAAACTTTCACAATTTGCTGATGACACATCTCTTATTTTAGATGGTAAAGAAGAATCTTTGAATGAAGCATTAAATGAATTAGATTGGTTTGGAAATATATCTGGTTTAAATATTAATTTTTCTAAAACACAAGTTATTTGGATAGGAAATAAAAAGTATAGTAATGAGGTATTATGCCAAAATAGAAACCTTACATGGGGAGAAACATGTTTTAAGTTATTAGGTATAAGCTTTGATGTTAATCTTGATAGAATTGTAAAAATTAATTATGATGAAAAAATTGTACAAATAAAATGTGTAATTAAACAATGGTCAAAACGAAATCTTACTGTTATTGGTAGAATTACTGTTGTAAAGACATTGATATTGCCTATTTTAAATCATTTGTTTATATCCTTACCAAATCCAAGTGATGATATTTTAAAAAATGTTATTGAACTTATGTACAATTTTATATGGAGTTCACCAATTGATAGAATAAAGAGAGATGTTTTACAAAATGATATTGAAGATGGTGGACTCAAAATGATAAATCTTAGTGCATTTATTTTAGCACTGAAGTGTACATGGATAAGGAGATTATTTAAAACAGACAACAAATGGCAGAATGTTTTTTTGTCAAATGTTCATGTAGAACTTGAAAAATTTTATGGTTGTGGAAGTGTTTATATACAAAAATTACAACAAAATATAAAAAATAAATTTTGGCAAGATGTTCTGAAAGCATGGCAACTTCTCAGAGAAAAAGATGAATATGACAGTTGGGAATGCTTTCTTGCTAGTCCAATCTGGCTTAACAATAATATAAAGGTAGCAAATAAACCTATTTTTTATAAAGATTGGTTTGAAAATGGTATAAGATTTATAAATGATATTGTAAATGAAGATGGGACTTTTTTCTCTCATCAAGAATTAGAAGAAATGTATCAGATAAATGTGAATTTCATGAGATATAATAGTATTATATCTGCTATACATCAAGCATCAAAATCATTTGTGGGAAAAAATCACAAATTAGAACTACCTTTAATTCCATCTGCTATTAAAAGACTTGTTAAAAGTTCAAAAGGATCTAAAGATATGTATATTGTTTTAAATAAAAATAAAAGTGTTCCCACTAGTCAGTTAAGATGGACTGAAATTTTTGGCTTTGATCAAAATCATTGGAAAAAAATTTATAAAATGCCATTTGTTGTCACAAATAATACTAAGTTACAGTGGCTGCAGTATAGATTCAATCATCGAATCTTAGCTACAAACAAATTTCTTCATAAAATTAAGATTTATGATAATCCAAATTGTACATTTTGTAATAGAGAAATTGAAACATTAGAACATTTATTTTGGGATTGTGAACATACACAGATATTATTAGAACAGATTGAAAATTGGTTTCTGACCAATGGAGTTAGTGTATTTTTTACAAAAGAAGTTTTTTTGTTTGGTAACATTGCAAAAATATCAAAAGGCAATGCAGAAAATACTCTTTTTCTTACCATAAAGCAATATGTTTATAATACCAGATGTTTTAAAAAAAAACTGTCAATAAACTCAGTAAAAGAGAAGATGAAATATGTGTATGCAATTGACAAAAATATTGCTATGAAAAACAAATGTGAACATCAGTTTCACAGAGAATGGAACATTTTTAATAGATTACTTAGTTAAGTACAAAAATGTATACACTTTAAATTTAATATTATACATGTTATAAATGAAAATGCTGTATTTACTATGCTAAAATAGAATTCAATGTCTAGATGAATTGTATTGAAAACTCACCACATTATTTTCTCTCACTCTCTTTCTCTCTCTCTCCGGTGTTCAAACTGCTTTACTCTTTATCTTATATTTGTATATTTAAAAAAAAAAAAAAAAAAAAATTGCTTCCTAATAAAAAGATGTATTGTTAAGATAATATCAATAGATTTATATATTATATATTGTTATTATTTGTGTATACACTGTATTATGTTGTAAATTGGAAGTTATAAATAATAAAAAAAAAAAAAAAAAAGAAATTCGTTTTGCATGCACATGTATAAAAATTGCGGTTTTTATCCAAAGCAATCATACTAGGTTTGAACGTTGTTTTCAATTTAGACTTGTTTATATAACTATTAGATATAGGAAGATGTGGTATGACGGGATGTAGAACCATACGTTTCCATAATTGTATATCAATATAGATATAGGAAGATGTGGTATGAGTGCCAATGAGACAACTCTCCATCCAAGTAACAATTTATAAAAGTAAACCATTATAGGTCAAGGTACGGCCTTCAACACGGAGCATTTGCTCACACCGAACAGCAAGCTATAAAGGGCCCCAAAAAACTACTAGTGTAAAACCATTCAAACGGAAAAACCAACGGTCTAATCTATATAAAAACAAGAAACGAGAAACACGTATGAACTACATAAACAGACGACAACTACCATATATATATAAAAGTTAAGTAGAATCCATATGCTGGTAACATATAAGAAAATTAATAAAAGATAATAACGGTTTCAATTCATCACTTTTACTAGCGCTTTCACTGCTTTTACAGATCATCAGGTAATGTGACTTGTATACATAAGTGTTATACAAAACAATTGATTGACGTTAACAATATATATATATATATATAAACAAGTCTAAATTGAAAACAACGTTCAAACCTATGATTGCGTTGGATAAAAACCGCAATTTTTATACGTGTGCATGCAAAACAAATTTCTTGGTAGAGTGGTCTAAATACAGCACAAACAACATTTTCCAAAAGACCAAAAGAAGTGAAAAAGTATATTTTAACAAAACGCATTTGACTAGCAGGTCGAACAACGGATGTTCTTAAACCCTGCTGACTGCCATGGCGATTGCCAAATAAACGGATCACCAGATGTAAAAATGGATCTTATATATATATATATATATATATATAAGTGCCTATAAATAGCAGCACATGACATACAAATCTATGGGAGTGTGGATTAATCAGTACAGAGATTAATTCAATTACACAAATAAAATTATAGATTGCCTAACAATGTAATTTTAACACACTATTTAGTATGTAAATATAAGAATGTTTAAAATATTTACAAAATGATGAAAATAAACGCAATATTTCGCTAGACTAACTAGCTTTATCAAGCGTGCATCTATCCAGGTGAAATCGGATGTAGATGATAAGAAACTTTTGCAGCTCAATGTATATGTTGCACTTGAATTTAGCTGCCTTGAAAATAATACATAATTTGGATGAAGTTCAAGATTTTTACAAAATTGGTAGTTGAAGTTAGCAACGTCCATTGGCCAATATTACAGGATAAAAAGGACGATGCTGTGTACTAAATTATTCTTTATCTTTCCTGTATCTTTTCTCATCTTTTTCGTTAAGACCATCAGGTTCTAAAGTGTGGAGTTGGTGGATCCAAAAATTTTCTCTTCTCCTTCTCGCCGTGGTGTCCCACTCGGTGTTGACTTCTATGATGAACT